CTATCACAAGCTCACCTGAAACCAATCACACACAGCTGCTACCAATAACACACACTATATAAATCAGTCTCACACCACCATTCAGGACCGAGTATTGTTTAGCATTTATTGCTCACCTAGGGATAGCTACTTTACAGAGCCCTTCCAAGTTCACGAGTCTAGCCTTGTTCATAGTCTGTTTTCCCATGTCTCGATCCTAGCCTGTTATCTCGTCCTGTCTGATTTCTGCCTGCCCTGAAGTTTATAGCCTGTCTTGGATCTACCCTTTGCCTTGCTGATTCAGAATGTGTTTGCACCTCGATTGGATTATTGCTTGTTTTGGATTCCTCTTTAGTCTTGCCCTCAATATACCTGTTTGCCATTGTCAGAACCTTGCCTGTTTTTATGACCACGCATTTAAATAAAAGCTTTGCAGATGGATCCGCACGTCTCACGTCTCTGTTGCCCCATAACATAGTTTGAATATTTTTTTTTAATAGCTTTCTGACCCGCGACTCAAATATTTTCTACAGTTCTCCAGCTGTGATCTTACTCGGACTCTTTGGCCACTCAAACTCTCCTCCTCACCATGCTTTAAGGAAAAATAGACACACGTCCTTTTCCAGACAGTTTTGTAACATCTTTAGCTGATTGGAACCTCTTAATTATTGCCTTGATGGTGGAAATGGGAATTTTCAATGCTTTAGCTCTTTTCTTAGAGCCACTTTCTATTTTGTGAAGTTCAACAATCTTTTGCTGCACATCAGAAATATATTCTTTGATTTTACTCATTGTGATCAATGATTAAGGGAATTTGGCCTTTGTGTTCCTCATATTTATATTCCTTTGAAACAGGAAGCCATGGCTGAATAATTTCATGTTCCTTGTCACCCTGATGTGATAACAAAAAATGCAAATATTAATGGAAATATACTCGAGATATTTTAATCATACGAATTTCTAGGGGTACCAATAATTGTGGCCATTGTGTATTAGAGAAAAATATTTATTTCATAATGTGATTTCCCCCCACTTTCACTTTTTTTTACTTCAATTAAAGGTTAGATTTTTTTGAAATTTTTAAATGAAAGATCAAATGGATAAACAATGCAGACTTATTTTCAGGGCTGCCTTTGATCGTATTTACCAAGGGTATGAATAATTTTGAGCACAACTGTATCTACGAAAGTGCATTTGTGTGAAGTGCATGTCATCCACATTGTCTTCAGCAGAAGACTCATTCCCCAGGTTCAGCTCCTTCCAGTGTCTTGATCCTCATGATGTTCAGAAGTAGGCCTACATTTGGCACATCCACACAACTTATCACACTAGAAAAAAGAAAAGAACATATTGTTGTTATTCTAATATAGCCTATATAATTACACATTGGTACATGCCAATTTCTGACTCTTCAAATAAATAGGCTGCAATAATTTCTGTACTTTTATACAGGAAAATCGTCCTTTATTAATAGTTTTGAATTGAATGTCGTCATTTATTACCTGGAGATTTATGTAAAAGTTAGTGTGGCTGTATAAAAAATTGGATTTAATTGAAATAAAGTACTTGGGAGTCTTAAAGTAGTACTTACATTTGGATAAAAATGTGTGTTAGGATAATCCAGTATGTATAGAATTACAGGCACAACAAAAAATGTTTGACTTCTTGTGACCTTTTAAAACCACATTGGCGACAATTTACATCCGGATGAAGCTGGTTCCAGCCTATTCCAAGATGCTGCTTCCGCACACTGTCTGACACTGCGGTTGTGAAATATATCAGTTTATTCCTTAAAATCCACAATAAGCCAAGAGAAAACAACGGGTTTACATTACTGTAGTTTAGTGTGCTCTTGTTCTGAGCGCAAAGTACACAAATAATACAACAAGTCCATGGATAATCTGAGTTCAGTTTTCGTAAATACGTGCCATCCAGTCGCAGAACCAGGTTGTTTTTGAATAAAACTCTGTAACGTTGGGATTTAAAAGCAAAAGTATTGTCCGACGTCAGTTTCGTCTTTGGCCATTTATTTTGTTCTCTTGATGCTTTCCTAGTTAACATTTTGTTGTCAGACTTTGGGGAGCTTTTGACCAGAAGATCTTTGGATTCACCATTTCTTAAAGAAGATTTTCATGAACAGTCCGTTTCAAATCGCACTGCAATGGACAAAACCCCGGGAATCTCCACTCGCTCCCTGTGAAACACGAATCCCCAAAGAGAGCGAAAAGAAGATTTGACCGAGTCTCCACATGTCATCCCGAGCCCATACACTGCCGCTGGAGGCCGCTTCTTGTTCGCCTGTTTTCTGGCGAGGATATTCCCCTGACAGCGCTGAAGCGGAGGGCGTCGAAGCCATCGCAGACTTTCTTTTGAGACTCTTGTGGTCCTTTTAAATGCAGTCCTTACAATTAACGCCGAGTAAAATCACTCTTTGGTACTAAAAGAGGGGTTGAGCGACACCAGAGCCCGATTTTGACTCTGAGGGGCTCAGTCTACGAGACTTGCGTCAGATCGAGGGTTGTTGGTTATTCAACAACCTGCATGTGGGCAAAATCGTGTAGGCTACTTCACATGTCCCCCTCGTGTACACAGTGTGCCAATTAAAGTTATCTTCGAGGATACTACTACCTTTAATTTTAAAGCACTTGCAGGAAATCAGGAAAAAGGAGGTTCCTTCAGGCAACCCAATTTGCTTAAGGACGTATCGCTAGCCTACTATTAGTCAAACGCCAAATATCTTTAGGACATTTTAAACTAACACGGGTTTTTCACATTATATATGTGAAATGTACATTTAGTAACAATATTGACGATTTGTCAAAGGTCCAGTTCAACAATCGCTCTGTTGCTGGTTACCCGATGAGAAGAACACGAATTCTGCTAGTCTATTTATTTTTTCGAGAGCATTGTTTAACTTTTTTTTGTCTTTTATTTAGAAAAACAAATGTAGAAATTTGAACCATGATTATATCAATAATGATTTCCTAATTTAGCATTAAAAATAAATCAAATATAATATAGAAAACAAAATTAAAAGGAGCAAAAACATAGCCTCTAACTAAAAACTTGACAATGATCTTGACAGGCTGACAGATAGCCTACTAGCTATGTTGTATAAATAAACATGTGCCTTTGCACAGTTATGAGGGCATAATGTCCCAAATAATGAACTGAACTGAACATATGCTATATTTTGACACTAGGATGGGTTCCGTCTCCTTGTGGCCCTGCAAAGGATAAAGCAGTGGAAAATGGATGGAATGGAGGAGAAATGGACAAGTAGGCCTGCATTTAAAAGAATACGGAAAGCAAAATGCAAGTCTAAAACTGTAACTTGTAAATGTCTGCACTGTACAGAATGTACACTGGAGGGCATTTGAGCTCTCTTTTTGATGTACCTAGTGATTAATGCAAAACAGGACTGCTTAATGACTGGATAGGGAAACTGACAATTTGGCAGAACCAGCCTGACACATGGACCAAACATTGGGCTAAATAATGTATGAATAGTATCCATAGTGTCCAACAATGATTTGTCCAATATTGCCCAAAATGTGAAAGTTTGTCTGGATGCATGGCCTTGACATTAACAAATAAATAGGAAATGTTTTCTACCATATTTATTCAAACTACGCAAGTTAGGTTACTTGCATTTTCAGTATTTGCCTTTGAAAATTGTTTTTACCCTGCTATCAGAGCAGACCTGCAACATATTTTTATTTATCTGCTGTTTTGTCCTTATGTGTATATGGAGTTATATGCCTTTACTAGTTTTACCCCTATTTATGATATTAAAGTCCTGCTGAAATAGCCGTCCCCATGCACTTGTGAAATGTTTACGCTTCATTTAATTAAGACATGTAAGTCATGTGTCTGTCTAGGACATTATGAAGTCATTGACAATATCAAATTTCTGTTTATTCTTATAGATGTTATCTGACTGAAGTTGTAATTGTAGGTATATTATGTCACTCAGACAGAGAATGGTCTTAACCGTTTATTATTTTCCACTTTGGCCTCTTCCCATTTGTGCAAAAGAATAAAAGAAATGAACATAAACTATAATTATATATATATATCCGTTTATTATTTTCCACTTTGGCCTCTTCCCATTTGTGCAAAAGAATAAAAGAAATGAACATAAACTATAAATATATATATATATATATATATATATATATATATATATATCAGATTATATTATTTACATTATGTGCAGCATATGTCAAAGAAGTATCTATTTCTAATAAATGTCTTTCTAACATAAGAAATAACATTTATGAGCTTACAGTAGTGTTGCAATGCACATTTTTAGACTGAGGTGATTTGCATTGGCGAGTTGTCACATTTTTGTCCTTTAGCATCAATACCACAAACCATATAGATAAGAAATACATGAAAATACATAATTATTCATTAAATCAAATGGCATAGTAATATTGTATGACAATATGATTATTTAATATTATCCAGCCCTTTAAAAAAATATATATATATACTTTTTTTTTTTTTCC